ATTTGATTTTGAGATCGAATTTCTTCAAAAGAGTTGACCAATTTCGGAGATTCGGATTCGAAATTTCGGAGCCAAAGTTTCGGAGCCGACAAATTTGAAGATTTGAGGAAATTTTCTCACAATAAACTGCTCTAACTGCTACAATGATCAAACTGTTTTCATAAAAACAAAAATTATGCACTCTTTGTACCTCCAGGAGGTTTAGGATTAGGTCAATACCTGGCCTGGCTCAGGTACAAATTGACTTAAAGTAAGCTCAAGTTTGAAGGGCTTGAATATAAGCAAAAATCCAGAGTTGACCAATTTGAAGATTTGAGGAAATTTTCTCACAATAAACTGCTCTAGTTGCTACACTGATCAAACTGTTTTCACAAAAACAAAACTTATGCACTCTTTGTACCACCAGGAGGTTTTAGGATTAGGTCAATTCTTGGCCTGGCCCAGGTACAGATCGCCTTAAAGTGAGCTCAAGTTTCCGGTTGAAAGGCTGAAGGCTGAAGGAAAGGAAAGGTTGAAAGGCTATACGCAAAAATCCAGAGTTGACCAATTCGAAGTTTCGGAGTCGACTAATTTCGAGATTTAGGAAATTTTCTCACAATAAACGCTACACTAATCAAATGGATTTAGCTTTTGAAAGTGTTTTCACAAAGAAGTATGCACTCTTTGTACCACCAGGAGGTTTAAGATTAGGTCAATTCTTGGCCTGGCCCGGGTACAGATTGACTTAAAGTATGCTCAAGTTTCCGGTTGAAAGACTTGACTATCCATATGCAAAAATTCTGAATCCACAAATCAAAACTGTGTTTTTTTAAGATAATAACAGATAGAAAAAGAAAACGATTCAAGTTTTATAAAATGAACAAAAGTTATAACATAAGTTATCAACCGGAATTCCGAAAGTAACACTCTCCCTGTCTCTCATAAGGTCGACCGCCAGGGAGAGGCTAAAAGGCCCCTCTGACGGAACTCTAATATTCATAGGATCTCCTCTCTTTTCTCTTTCCTTTCTTTTTTCTCATTCTCATCATTGCTTTTCTCTTTTCATCTTTTCCTACCACATCTATTTGAAAGTTTTTATGTTTATGTTCATAGAGTAGTGTCGATGGGATCTCGGTGTGATTCCGGTGAAAAATAAATGACAACGAGGGATGAGTAGACGTAAAGGAGATGTTGCCAAGTTTTTTTTCCCTGGTAGATCATCATTTCCCTAATGCTAAGCCAGTGATTAATATGAAGAAGGTTCTCGAGCAGTACTACAAGATATCAGTTAACCAGACTTTCAGTATCCAGCCAGACAAACAACTGATTTCTATGCACCATACGAAAGCTGGCAATCACATCTACAATAATGATACAATTATTCAGATAATAAAGTGAAATTCAATATGATTTAAAGAATGAATGAAATAAGACTTATGAATAGATTTTTTTTTGATTTTAAAAAGTGATTATTGATTTATCAATTTATTCTTGTTGATTTATCCATTTATTGATTATTTATTTATCAATTTATCAAAAATTACCTTTTCTTGACATAAATAATCGATTAAAATGGAGAATCTTTTCATAAAATCGGGGGTGGGACAAATGCGACCTTTTTTTGCGCACCTGGACATTTGCGCACCTTTTTTTTTTGCTGGAAAAGGCCTTAGGAAAAGTCGTAGCGCTTCAAAAATGTTTTCATAGAAGGGAATCGTATGCGTAGATTCCGAATTTCGACAAATCAGACCTCGCTGACACGTCAAATTTGGGCCAAAAGGCAAAAATTACGCAACTTAACGCTTTTCTGCAGTTTTTGCCTTTTAGCCCAAATTTGACGTGTCAGCGAGGTCTGATTTGTCGAAATTCGGAATCTACGCATACGATTCCCTTATACGGAAATATAAGGGAGCTCTACGGAGCTCTACGGCCTTGCCTAAGGCCTTTTTCAGCAAAAAAAGGTGCGCAAATGTCCAGGTGCGCAAAAAAAAGGTCGCATTTGTCCCACCCCCATAAAATCGAATCAAATTTGCTCTTCAATCAATCGAATATGATTGAAAGGTTGAAGTCGTGAAAACAGATGTAGCCTCTAAAATCTCTAAAATCTTCTAAGTTCAAATGATCTCTCTGTCTCGCTCTCTTTTCATCTCCATCCCATCCACTAGCAGTCACCAGAGTGAGTTAAAAGTAAACGAGTTGAGCCTTTTAACCAACAAAAAAAATGATTGATATGGTGTTGGGTTGTGAGGGTAAAAAGAAAGAAGTGTTCTTAGTTTTGAACCATAAAAATTTGAAAACCATAAAAACCACAAAAAAAGAAAAAATACATCATTCACTTTTAAAGTAAAAGTCCCTTAGAAAAAAAGAAATTCGTTTTTCTGTTTTTTTTTTCTTTGAAATTCGAGATGTAATGTCGTGAGATGAGAGGGGAGGATGAAATAAGAAAAAAATTGGAAATACATTAGAAATAAGAAAAAAAAACGTGAACGAAAAGTTGATAGAATGAAATTTATGGATGAATCAGACATAGAAAATAAACAAGATTTGTTCCTTAAAGCGTACTTTGTACTCTCAAAATTGAAACACATTCTTTCTGGAGTGCTGAAGTCATTGCTTTTAATAAAGAAGAAAGTACTTTTTATGTAAAAGAAAGAATTGAGCATTGAAAATGAGTACATCTAAAAGAAGACTGGTAAAAAGATCAATATCAAACTGATCAAACCCAAACTAATCAAACTCAAACTGATCAAACTGTATCAGAAAGGTGCCAATTTTTTCCCGACAAGGTATGATCAAAAGCTGGAGCATGATCAAAACCTGGAGCATGATCAAAAGCTGGAGCATGATCAAAAGCTGGAGCATGATCAAAAGCTGGAGCATGATCAAAAGCAAAAACCTGGCTTCTGGTTTTGCTCTTGCCTGGTATAACATTGAATAACAATTGAAAGAACAGTTAACAGTTGAATAACAGTTGTTGAATTGTTGAATCTTGTTGAACCGTTGAATCTAGTCCCTGGACCAGGCAGATGCCGGTCTTGTACTTGAACTAGAAGCTAGTCAAACTTCTGTCCGATCAACCAACGAGAACCAGATTCAATGGTTCTGATAACAGATCAAGACCTAGTTTCTGGACCACTCAGAACACATATAGGTTAGATTTTAGAATGGATATAAGCTCAAGTAACGTACAACTGATCAAAAGAAAACTTCAGAAAGAAATGAGCACTCAATGGTAAACTTGCTTAACGGTAAGTTAACGGTAACAAAAATGGGTACCAGTAAGGTTCGCTTGTATGACAAACTTTTCCCATAAGCTTATCGTTTAGCTACCCAATATGGACAGATAAGTAGCCAGCTAGAGTGGGCAAGTTTATGAGGATTGGGGCTATGTTTGTCTGTTTCTCCTCTCTTCTTTACCCACCTCTTCTCCTATTCCCATCTGTTGTGTTCAGTTCTTTCTTTTTCCCCTTCACTTCCCCCTCACTTTCCCTTCACTTTCCCTTCACAGGGTTGCCCTCTCAATTTCTCAATTTCTTCCACGCCCAATTTCTTTTCTCTCTTTGATCTTCAGAAGATGGACACACTCTCCGAAGTGGGCAAGGAAGAGAGGGGTCGATCTAGAAACCTTCTCTCTCCTCCTGGGTGTCGTGACAAATTGCTCCCGGCAGGACCGACCTTTCTCTTCTCTTTTCTTAACCAATCTCTCTCATATCTGTTTTTTTTTTGGTAAATTGCTGTTTTGAATGTCAGTCCTGTGCGTGTATTGTAATTTTTAACATTGAATAACAATTGAAAGAACAGTTAACAGTTGAATAACAGTTGTTGAATTGTTGAATCCTGTTGAACTGTTGAATCTAGTCCCTGGACCAGGCAGATGCCGGTCTTGTGCGTGTACTTTAACTAGAAGCTAGCCAAACTTCTGGTCGATCCAGTCACCAACGACCGCCTCCTCTTCGTAAGAGTCAACTGTAGGCAGAGAATTGCATATGAATAAAACGCTAGTGTTTTTAAAGAACAAAAAATGTGTCAGAGTTGTTAAATATTGACCTTATCTGGTTTAAAACTTGAAACTTGTTGACAAGGTTACGGTAGTTTTTGATTGATCTAATAATAAGGAGCTGGGGTAATAGATAAGCTAAAGGATAAGCTAAAGGATAAGCTAAAGGATAAGCTAAAGGATCAGCTAAAGGATAAGCTAAAGGATAAGCTAAAGCAAGAGCTAAAGCAAGAGCTAAAGCAAGAGCTAAAGCATAAGCTAAGGCAAGAGCTAAAGCAAGAGCTAAAGCAAGAGCTAAAGCATAAGCTAAAGCAAGAGCTAAAGCATAAGCTAAGGCAAGAGCTAAAGCAAGAGCTAAAGCAAGAGCTAAAGCATAAGCTAAAGCAAGAGCTAAAGCATAAGCTAAGGCAAGAGCTAAAGCAAGAGCTAAAGCAAGAGCTAAAGCATAAGCTAAAGCAAGAGCTAAAGCATAAGCTAAGGCATAAGCTAAAGCTCTTGCCATTCACCTCTAATACACATTATTGAGAGCTTACTATTTTGTTTTTTTTTTTGGAGTCCTTCAAAAGAGTGGGATGGAGCTTGAGCCGAAAAAGGGTGGAAGCTTTTCCCTTTCGGTGGGTGTCGTGACAAATTGCTGCCGGCATCCCGTCCCTTGCCCTCCCCTTTGCCCTATTCTCTCTTCTTCATCACCTCTTTCCCGTGATCTCTTTCCCTTCACATACACTAACAGATGGGCTAAACCCTATCCATTTCCTAGGTATAGAAAAAGAAAAGTAAATTAAAGATGCCAGCGCTGGATTTGTAAATCGGGTCGCGAAAGTGAAAACGAGAAATGGCTTGATGTGATAAGGATAAATTTTAAAGCTTTAAAGCTTTAAAGCTTTAAAACTTCAAAAGTTCAAAAGTTCAAAAATTTTTTTTAAAAATTCAAACATTTAAACTTGTTTTTTCGATTTTAGAGTGAAAAAAAAGAAAAGAAAAGATAAGATTTGTATTTTAAAAAGTTTAAATTTCAATATTTTTATGAAACGATCATCTCGCGCTCTTCCTCAGCGAAGATTGTCTCAAGATTTGGTGAGCCGAAGTCGAAAGTCTAAATTTTTACATATATTTGATAACATTGAATGTAAATTTGAAGAAATTTTTGTCTAACCTTGGCCGCCTTTTTCCCGTCGGTAATGTAGCTCTTGGGAAGACGGAATTTCACTTTCCGTGAACCGGGCTGCAAATCGAAATGAACTTGTAGAAATGGGAATAGAAAAAAATTAAAGAAATCAAATCGAAATCCTATCTAGCTTTTAGATATCGAATCTATTATCGAATCACGTTTTAGCATATTGTGAATCTCTCAAATTAAACCTTGATCCCATCATCGCAATCGTGATACACCTTGAACACTGGATCGATCGCTGTCAACTCAGCCTCGCCACCCTCCAGATGGAATTGCCCTTAAAACTGAAATCATCAGCTTCTTTTTTAAAGCTCTTTATTTACCATTACTATCCGTGTATCCTTGAGCTAAAAGATCGTCCGGATCAGGGCCTGTAGTTTAAAATTCAATTCTCTTTGTTTAAAATGAAGGTCACTATTGTTCAGAATCAATCTCTTATAATAAAAAAGCGCTTTGATCACTCAGCATTGATAACTTTTACGCTGAAAAGTCACTGAAAAGATCACAGCGCGATGAATCTCTTAGCTCTTTCAAACCACGATATTCTAGTCAACCGATTGCTTACAGATCTTTGAACACACGATCACAGCCCGATCAATCTCTTAGCTCTTTCAAACCGCGATATTCTAGTCAACGAATTGCTTGCAGATCTTTGAACACACGATCACAGCCCGATGAATCTCTTAGCTCTTTCAAACCGCGATATTCTAGTCAACCGATTGCTTACAGATCTTGATGAAACCTTGATCTTGATGAACACCGATTCTGGACAATAGTGACCTTCATTTCAGAACACTTTTATGTATTTTAATGAAAATGTATTGTGAATATCAATCGAATATGAATGCATACCCGAATCCTCTTCCCACAATTTCACGCGCACGTTTGCCGCCGGTTTCGATCCGCAAAGGAGCTTTCCCTCGAAAAGTAAAACGTTTAAAGCGTATCAATTGATACAAGTTATAATATGAGTCGATTGCTTTATAATACGACGAAAAGAACTAAACCTTTATGGCGATCGATTGATGTCTCATCGTCAAACCCAACCCAAACAATCCAACAAATACAATTAAAGACTTCATTTTCTAAAAAATCAAATGAGATTAAGATTGAAAGATTGAAATTTGAATTCAAATTTTTCAAATTTTCAAACGATTTATCAATAAGTGAAAGAAACGCTTTGAAAATCGTAAAAATAAAAAAAAAAAAACAAGAATTGCTTCTTCTTGATTCTTCAAAAAATGATAAGAAAATGGAAAATGTTTAGTGTAAACAATTAAATTTATAAACTTTTAATGATTTTTATTCTAATTCAAATCATTTCATTTAGCCATATCGATTGTGCCAAGCTCGTAAACCTGAAATAAAAAAAGATTTTTTACATTTTTTACATTTTTATCATTCATTTTAAATTATTAGGTACATGTATAAAAAAATACGGATTTCAACACATTTTCATAAATTTCCAACCATAGAAACCTGATATCGATGAATGTTATAATATATATATGTTGTGTCCGATTTAGATTTCCGTCCGATTTAGATTCAATCTAAATCGGACGTCCGATATAGATTGAACTTATCGCGGACGTCCGATTTAGATTACAGTCTATATCGGACGTCCGATTTAGATTCAATCTAAATCTTATATAGATTGAACAATAATACGTCTTGTATAGATTGAACAATAATATAAACATGCTTAATATATGTTCTTAAGCGTTTTCTGTAGTTTTCTGCATTTTTCAAAGGTCTTTTATTGATTACAGTCTATATCGGACGTCCGATACAGATCGAACAATAATAAACGTGCTTAATATATGTTCTTAAGCGTTTTTTTGCAATTTTCTGCGCTTTTCAAAGAATTCAAGATGTCACAATAGCATGTTCAAGATGCCACAAAGAATTCAAGATGTCACAATGTCACAACTCTGCAATTCAAGATGTCACAATAGCCTAACCTGCAAAAATAAATAGAAATTTTTAACTCGTTCGTTGTTGTTGTTAGTTTTTTGTTGTTATATGTTGTAATTTTGCATCTATTCTGTTAACGCTAATAAATTGTTTCATAGTTGGATTTTCTTTTCAGAAAAAGACAATAAAATTTCCTTGAAAAGCGCAGAAAATTGCAAAAACGCTTAAGAACATATATTAAACATGTTTATATTATTGTTCAATCTATATAAGACGTCCGATTTAGATTGAATCTAAATCGGACGTCCGATATAGACTGTAATCTAAATCGGACGTCCGCGATAAGTTCAATCTAAATCGGACGTCCGATTTAGATTGAATCTAAATCGGACGGAAATCTAAATCGGACACAACATATATATATTGTTAACTATTTGAAAGTTGTAAATCTCCTCTACAAAATAGAGCTAAAACGTGTTTCAATTGATCGATGCATTGAAGAAATTTCGAGGGTGAAATGCGAGTGATCAAAACAAGGAATCGAGTCACTTTAGGGACAAGTTTAGTGTGCTCAAAATAGAGTTAGCTTCCCGAATTGCAGCTTGTTGAAGCTTTCATTTGTTGAAATGGCTTTAGAAACGACTTTGGAGATGCATTTATTAGGTACATGCATAAGAAATGCGTATTTCAACATTTTCATAAATCTCCAACGATAGAAACCTGATATCGATGAATGTTATAATATATATATATATTGTTAACTATTTGAAAGTTGTAAATCTCCTCTACAAAATAGAGCTAAAACGTGTTTCAATTGATCGAAGCATTGAAGAAATTTCGAGGCCGAAATGCGAGTGACCAAAACAAAGAATTGAGTCACTTTAGGGACAAGTTTAGTGTGCTCAAAATAGAGTTAGCTTCCCGAAATTGAAGATTTAAAGAAAAAAGGATAATTTTAGTCTTTTAAAGTTAAATAATCGAGTTACTATAAGGTTTATTCAATCTATTAAGTACATGCATAAGTACATGCATTAAGTACATGCATTGTTCGATTGTTTGATTGTTTGATTGTTTGATTGTTTGATTGTTCGATTGTTTGATTGTTTGGTTTTCGTTTTTTGGTTTTTTTTTTGTGTTTTGTTTTTTGGTTTTTTTTTTTTTGTTGGTTTTTTTTGTTTTTTGGGGGTTTTTTTTTTTTGTTTTTTTGTTTGTTTGATTGTTTTTAAATCAAAAGGAAATCATTGGCTAGTTTTCATTATAATGTAATGAATGACTAAAAGATAAAATATAATATTTGCAGTAAACTTTTTGAATGGTGTAGCCACAAATAATCAAAAGTGTACGATTAGTTAGCCTTCTCTTAATAAAGCTTATTGGAATTTTATCCTATAGTAATTAAATACGAATTTTGATTATCTAATAATAAAACTAGCTATCACATATATGCCTTCTGGAAATATGCCTTCCGGCCTTCACATACCGTAAATACTGTAATAGTACCCCACCGCCATAATGACGGTGTGGAGCGTTGCGTAGTCTAGCTTTGAACGAGTTTTTCTCGACACTGGTTTATGCAACAATGCTCGCTTAGGTATCAAAAAATAGCCCTGAATTTCAGCTATTTTTTGATACCAAAGACGTATTTTTTGAAAGTACGGGCGCCTTGAAAAAAATTGAAATACTAAAAAACTTTTGCGACTACGCGACTGTACGAGGGGGTGGGGTACTATTACAGTATTTACGGTATGCCTTCTGGTTTGATTGTTTGATTGTTTGATTGTCTAAAACTTCCAATTCTTTTCCTTTGCATTATCTTTATCAAAAAAAATCTTTATGTACATTTGTACCTCGAAATCTCAAAACATTCAATCATCCTCTTCATTAAGCGCCTCCTTTTTTCGTTTCTCTTCCGCGAAAATCGTCTCCAAGTTCAGCACACCGAAATCGAAAACCTAGAAAGTTCAAATTTATTAGAATCAATATAAATAATCGTAATCTTTTCGTATTCGATTTGCAAATATCTATTATAATTTTAGTTCTATTAGTATCTATTAGCAAATATCTATGATTCTTCTATTATTCTTCAAATTTTCTTCCCACTTTTGGCGATTTCTTTCCGTCGCCGAGTGTATCCTTTGGAATCGCCACTCTCAATTTGCCACAGCATTTCGAATTCTGAAAATTACAATATTTAGAAAAGCTAGATATCAATATATTACTTAAGAATATAGCTTTTAAAATCAAAATTTCAAACCCTCAATTCTCCATCATTGCACTCGTAATGCGCATGGAAATACGGCTCGATTTGCGAGAGTTCCGCCTTGTAACCCTCCAAATGGAAATGGCCTAGAGAAATGGGATTCTTTCAATTTCTATCGTCAATGTTTCATTTATCTATTGCTCTCTCTCTCTCTCTTCAAAAACAATTACAATTACAATTTCACAACCCCCACCAACCGTGTAAATCAGTAAATCCTTGATCTAACACTTCATCGAAAAGCTCAACCAAAGCCGCTTCTCTCAATTTCACGCGGATACGTGCTGCCGGCTTGTCACCGCAAAAGATTTTTCCCTGAAAATGAGAAAATGAGAAACTCAAGCATGTGCAAAAGTTTTTTTTCATTCTATTACCGGATCTAGCTTTAAAAATGAATATTTAAAAATAAAATGAAGATATTCTGTTTATCATTTTGATACTTTTACTCATTTTAGTCTTAAGTTTACTTTATCTAAACTATTTTATCTTTAATGATTGCTTTTTTTAAAATACCATATTTTCTCTAATAGTAGTGCACCCAAAGCTTCGTCTAAATTCCTCGAAATCTCGACAGCCGCTTATCAGAACCTATCGATGTGGGGTCGGAAAATGTAGCTGACGATCAGATCTTGTGGGGGATTTGAGTGTTGGGCTTCTGGAAAAACTTGGAAACCGTAAAATAGTCACCAACTCGGCTCACCGGGAAATATTAGGGAAATAGATGAGTCTGATCTACTAGCCTAACCTGGAATAATCTACCGTCTTCTCTCTAAAAGTAGTGTACCCAAAGCTTCGTCTAAATTCCTCGAAATCTCGAGAACCGCTTATCAAAACCTATCGATGTGGGGTCGGAAAATGTAATGTAGCTGACGATGAGATCTTGTGGGGGATTTGAGTGTTGGACTTCTGGGAAAACTTGGAAACCGTAAAATAGTCACTAACTCGGCTCGCCGGGGTGCACTACTATTAGAGAAAATACGGTAATTTTAAAATCTCTTAAAAAGATTTAACATTAATTTGGCCATCAAAACCAATAAACCAATACTCACCGTGACGGCAACTGATTGAAATCGGAAAGCTGAGATCACGGCAATGAAAGAAAATAACAACAAGAGCTTCATATTTTTTTTTTGATTGCTGAGAAGAATTTTTCTGAGTTTTATCTCAAAAATTTGAATACTTTTACGTCTTTTATTTATTACGTTTATCAAAAGAATAGATCCTGTTGATCGTTTCTTTTAGTGAAAAGAGATTCAAAGATAAGATTCTTTTGGGGTGAAAGTTCTGTGATTTGAGCGATCAGAATTAACCCCGAGCAATCACCAAGATCATTTTTTGATCACTTTTTGATCAATTTTTGATCATTTTTTGATCAATTATTAAAGAGAAATCTTTTTTGAACTTTTTCGAGTTTAATTAGACAATTTAAAAGAAGAAAGAATCTTTTTTTTTAAGTTTATTCAATCATTAAGCAAACAGGGATCAAATAAACTAGAGTATTTTCCTTGAAAGTTGAAAAAAGAAAAGAAAAATGCGGGCCTGGCAAGTCACACGACTTACCACAGTTCGTTTTCGCGTAGATGGGTTCACCACAAGTTCCCTCAGGTACTCCAGGAGTCAGTTTTAGCTCAACCTACTGCTTAGAGAACGATCTTAGAGTTATTATTAATAGAGTGTTTTCCTCGCGAGTAAGTAATTACTCGAGTCAAATTTGCATGAGTAATTAATCGATTAATCGACGTTTTTGACCGAGTAACTACGAGTAATCCTCTTTACACGTCGAGTAAATTGAATACCTTTACATTCCAAGCTGAACTGTTAATTGTAAAGGATCTAAAATAAACAGGGATGTGCAGTCTAGCACTAGACTTTGCCAAGCTGAACGGTTAATTGTAAAGGATTTAAGTACTAGCGTTCTATAGTAAACCTAGTTTAGTAGTAGTAAAAAGTAAAGAGTCTAAATTCACCTTAGACCTTCCATAGACTGACATTGACTACGTAGCACGCCGGAAGATCTATTTTTCGAATAAATGATTCAAGAAAATTCTCCACTTTGCTTTTTATCATAGATTTATTGTTTTTGAAAGGAAACTATTTATCAAAATTGAACTCAAAATAGATCTCTTTCCTCTTTCGGGAAAATCGTCTCCAAATTGAGTGTGCCAATCTCGAAAGTTTTCCCTGCCGATCCACCAGATGAGATGTACGATGAAGGGATACGGAATTTCACTTTTCGTTGACCAGGCTAAATTTACTTTCAATTACTTTTCAATGTAAAACACCTACCGTAAATACTGTAATAGTACCCCACCGCCATAATGACGGTGCGGAGTGTTGCGTAGTCTAGCTTTGAACGAGTTTCTCTCGACACTGGTTTATGCTACAATGCGCGCTTAGGTGTCAAAAAATAGCTGAAATTCAGGGCTATTTTTTGATACCAAAGACGCATTTTTTGAAAGTACGGGCGCTTTGAAAAAAATGAAATACTAAAAAACTTTTGCGACTACGCGACTATACGGGGGCGGGGGTACTATTACAGTATTTACGGTAGTTTTACACGATTCAATGAACAAATTTTCATTAGCTTTCTGTTCAATTTCTCTATCGAACTGGAAAAATCGAATTTTCATCGAATTCTTTTTTTCATGCAAGAGCTCTGCCTAGCATTCCATACAAATTTTATCTATTCCCCTCTCCAAACGATCACCAAAAGCTCAAGCACTTTGACAGCTAATTGGCTGAAAAAAATTTGAGTAAAAAACTGTTCTTTTTTTGGCAAATTTTAGCAAATTTTAGCAAATTACGACAATTAAAAATGTTTTCCTAATCAAGAATTCAATTCTTTTCACCTTGATTCCATCATCACAATCGTGATAAATCTTGAAGACCGGATCGATCGACGTCAATTCGCGAGTTGTCCCCTGCAATCGAAACTCTCCATTCCCATCTGTTTGCTTCTTGTCCAGCTCATCGTCCCGATCCGGGCCTGAATTATATTATTTTTTTTTAATTAAACATTAAAGATTCTTTTAAATAGACTCAAAGTAAAGCTTAAAAACAGTACGGGCTGTAGCTGTACGGGCTGTAGCTGTACGGGCTGTAGCTGTACGGGCTGTAGCTGTACGGGCTGTAGCTGTACGGGCTGTAGCTGTACGGGCTGTAGCTGTACGGGCTGTAGCTGTACGGGCTGTAGCTGTACGGGCTGTAGCTGTACGGGCTGTAGCTGTACAACACTTTAGATTCCTGATGATTTCCTGACGATGAGCACAGTGAGATTTTGTGCTAAACTTAGAGAGAAAGCTTCAAAATCCTAGAACTATATAACTGTCATTGTCAAGTTTTTCTTTTGAAAGTTGCTTTACTTAGAGTTTAGAGCTTAAATGTCTAGAGTTTAAATTTGTATTTCTGCAAATTCAGCGTCGATTAGAGTCTCTACTTTGAGAGCTCACCCTCCCTTTTTTTCTTTTCCTTTTTTTTCCTTGGCATCACATTTCACTTTATGGTGTGATCTCTAATCGGCTGATAAAATGAAAGGCTGGTCATTTTTTTGCAGAAAATTCCCTTAGTGACGGCTGTAATTTTTTTTGAGATTTGTTAGATAGGAAGATTGGCTCCAAGAAGTTCCATTCTTTTATGCTGAAACCAAGCACTAAATTACGATAGTTTTAGATAGTTTCCACGTTTTCGAAAAGGTACTCAAAAAGAAAATACTCGCATGTTTTTTCGTTTCCTTCACTTTGATCTGTAACTTCAACTCAATTTTGTCTCAAATGCAAGGAAATTCCCAGTTCAGTTCCCAGTTCAGTGGAAAAATGATAGGGATTTTAAAAGAATTGAAAGTCAAAAGGGACTCAAAAGGGACTAACAATAATGGGATTAACGGTAATGCTTTAATTGTGAGCTTTTTTTCTTATAGTATCTTATAGTTATCTTATAGTATCTGATAGTTATCTTCTAGTTATCCTCTAGTCTTCCCCTTTCTCTCACCATCATCCTCATCCCACAGCTTCACCGTCACGCCGCTTGCCGGTTTCGATCCGCACATCAATTTCCCGTGAACGGCCACCGATTGTTGCCGCATCGCCAGCGCTACGCCGAATAAAGCCAAAGAAATGAGCAATTTCATTTCTAGAAATGAACAAAATATCGATTCTGATATAGAAAAGGAACTACCGTAAATACTGTAATAGTACCCCACCCCCATAATGACGGTGCGGAGTGTTGCGTAGTCTAGCTTTGAATGAGTTTTTCTCGACACTGGTTTATGCTACAATGTGCACTTAAGTATCAAAAAATAGCCCTGAATTTCAGCTATTTTTTGATACCAAAGACGCATTTTTTGTAAGTACGGGTGCTTTGCAAAAAAATGAAATACTAGAAAACTTTTGCGATTACGCGACTGTACGAGGGGCGGTGGGGTACTATTACAGTATTTACGGTAGTTTTGCCTGAAATACGCAATACGCAGACACAGTTAAAGACACTGCAAAGTACCAATGGTCTGTCTCACTACAACGATAAGTAATTCAGCCGATAAGACTGACTAATTGTAAGTTTTCGAACTTTCTAACTTTCTAAATTCTAACCGGAATTAAAGATATTATTCTTTTATTATTCTTGCTTTATTCTTATATCATTCTTTCTACATTTTATTCAATATTTTAGTACAAAATACTAAAAATTGACAGTAATTTTTAACCCAATCAAACTCTAAATCAAAGTAAAAAGAGGAGAATTACCAAAGTTTCCTTAAGCTAATGAAATGATTATTAAAAATTTCAAGAAATTGATTTGCTTTATTGGCTAAACAACTGATGTACATCATATCCCCTTTCTAACCTAATCAACTCTTTCTTTTTCACCAAACAATCAGCTCGAAATCAAAGTAAAAGAGAGGAATTTTTTATTTACAAAGGCTCAAGATTGTGAATAAAAATAAAAAAAGAAATGAAATTTATTCTTTTAAGAAGGGCCCATAAAAAAATTAAATAAAAACTTAGATAAGAAATAAATTTTCGTAAAATCGAATGAGAGCTGTGTTTTGTTTTTCGAAGTAAACAAAACCATTCAAATAATTTCAGATAAGCAATGCAAAGAACTAGAAAAACAAAGAAAACAAAGAAATTCTCTCAAAGAATTTTAAAAAAACAGAATAATATCGAATTTTTCAAATCCTTTACAGTACAATTAGTTATTGGTTTGAGAAATTGGAGAAATTTGACGGAATATATACAAAGAACTCGCAGCCATTCTCTTCTATAAACACTTCATTTCAAGAGAATCTTTCTTTCAAAAAATATAAACTATTCAATAAACGATTTTGATTTTTGAGCCTGAAAATAGAATGTTTTTTTTTGGATTTTTCCATTTTACTAATCGATTTTACCAAAATCGATGGCAAATGCCATTTTTCTATAGTTAAAATGGCACTTTAGCGCATCGAGACAATTCACAATTAGCACATTAGCATTAACACAGAATATTCCCATGTATAACCATGTAATTAAATTCTCTATGTTTTTATATTAAAGTTGAATAAGTAACTTATGGTTTTCTATAAGCAAATTTCATAAGGAACATTTGAAGACTTACCACAAGTTGATCGGTCAATTGGAAGTTGAGACATGGACCAGAAGAGGAGAGTCGACAAACTCCGATTCTCTGAGGGGGGTCAGAGACGTATCTCGACTTTGACTCTAATTTTCTCTATGTTCTTATCGGTAAGCCTACAAAGTAGATTATATGTTTGTTTACTCAAATTTCATGTAGATTCTAATAAAAGAAACCAAAAATTGATTCAACTTTTACATCTTAAGTTATAGACCATTTAAGTGATTCGACCCTTTCAGGTAGGTAGTCTGAATTTGACCGAAATTTTCTTTATGTTTTTATATTAAAGTTTACTAAGGAAGTTGTGGTTTTCTATAACGAAATTTGATAAGGAACATTTTAAGACCAACCACAGGTTGATCGGTCAATTGGAAGTTGAGATATGGAGGGAAAGAGAAGAGTCGACAAACTCCGACTCCGATGTATAACCATGTAATTAAATTTGATCTACATCTCACACAATGTACATCAGTTGTTTAGCTTGTGGTTTTCCAAATGCCAAAAGAGTCACTTAACTCAAAAATTACTGCCGAAATTTGTTTGTTTCGAGTCACCAAGTTTCAAATTCAAAAAGCAAACACTGAAAAATTCTTCTAGAGTTTATTGTTGATGTTTGGATCAACTTTGTTAACATCGAAATTCAACCTTTCTCTGTGTAGCAAGACTTTATTTCATATTAGTACAAAATACCAAAAAATTGACAGTATTTTGAAGCCAATCAAACTCTAAATCAAAGTAAAAAGAGGAGTATTACCAAAGTTTGCTTAATGCTAATGAAATGATTATTAGAAATTTCAAGAAATCGATTTGCTTTATTAGCTAAACAACTGATGTACATCGTGTGAGATGTAGATCAAATTCCCTGTATCGTCATGATACCCCAATAAATCTATTGGGGGTATAACAACTCTTCTCTTTTCGCCCATATCTCGGCTTCTAATTGACGAATCGACTTGTGGTTGGTCTTAAAATGTTCCTTATGAAATTTCGTTATAGAAAACTACAATGTATTTACTACACACTAATGTAAAAACATAGAGAAAATTCCGATCAAAGTTCGACTACCCACCTGAAAGGGTCCATCCACTTAAATGATCTGTAAGTCAAGATGTGAAATTTGAATCAACTCAAGGGTACTTTTATTAGAATCTACATTAAATTTAATTAAAGAAACATAAAATCTGTTTTGTAGACTGAACCGATAAAAACATGAGAAAAGTAGAGTCAAAGTCGAGAGGAAATGTCACCCCCTAGAGATTTGTCTAGGGGGGAGAGAGAGAGTCGGAGTTTGTCGACTCTTCTCTTTCCCTCCATATCTCAACTTCCAATTGACCGATCAACTTGTGGTTGGTCTTAAAAGGTTCCTTATTAAATTTGGTTATAGAAAACCACAACTTTCTTAGTATACTTTAATAGAAAAACATAGAGAAAATTTCGATCAAAGTCAGACTACCTATCTAAAAGGGTCGATTCACTTAAGTGGTCTATAACTTAAGATGCAAAAGTTGAATCAACTCACGCTTACTTTTATTAGAATCTACATTAAATTTGACTAAAGGAATATATAATCGGTCCTGTTAATGTAGTGAAATTGAAACTTAAAAAGGAATTGCAAAATGTAGTCTGCAAAATTCTGTAAATTCTGAGCTACCTGAAAGAGTGGATCCATTTAAAAGTATTTGGACAATTGAGTACTAAGTTAACTCATACTTAAATTAACCCATGCTTAAAAGTTACCCTATACTTAAGTTACCCCATACTTAAGTGACTCCATACTTAAGTGACTCCATACTTAAGTTACCCCTTCAGTGCTGAAAGGTTCAGTACTGAACGGTTCGGTACTGAAGGGTTCGGTACTGAAGGGTTCAACACAGAAAGGGTCAGTGCTGAACCTTGCAGTGCTGAACCTTTCAGATGAGCATCTGCACATCAAAGATAAGTTCATCCATGACAACGCTAGACCTCACTTTGCAAAAATCATGCAGCAAAAACTGGAGAGTCTAAGATGGGGAATTCTATCACATTCGCGGTACTCATTCAAACCGATTGAAGCCTTTGGTAACGCGTTAAACTTTTGGTTGAGGGCAGATGTAAAATTTGTAAGATATGAGCAAAATATAACCTCAATTATTTTTGTGCGAAAATTAGTAGGATCTTTTTTATTCTACTTTGTGGACGAATTTCGTTAAATCTCGAATTTATCATTGTGACGTTGGTGAATCTGGTCGAGAGAAGCAATGGTCAAATAGGTGGCCAATTCCATAGAAATTCCATAGAATTCCATAGCCAATTCCATAGAAATTTCGGTTCAACCGTATGTTGGCTTTCTAATTCGTTTTTTTCAGTGTGGAAGAGATTCATTTTAAAACAAATTATTCTGGTATAATACAACGCGCCCAATTGTGGTACAATTCACAAAGAAATTTTCCGCTTCACCGACGACTTTTTCGGAAATTTGCACATTTTGCTGACTTACATGTACAATGTATATTGATAGTATTAAAAGAAGCACGACAGAATTTGATATATATCAGATTTGCTATGTATCAAATTTGATATATATCAGATTTGTTATATCTCAAATTTGATATATATCCAATTGGTTTAGCATGTGAAAGCCACTCGAGAAACGGTCGATTCTGGTTTTTGTTGAATTATAGCTTTGCTTTCAAACATTTCCTAAATTTCGGGGTTGGCATCATATTTGTTATGCGTCAGATTTGATATATATCAGATTTGCTTTGTATCTGATTTGATATATATCAGATTTGTTATATCTCAAATTTGATATATATCCAATTCGTTTAGCATGTAAAAGCCACTCGAGAAACCGTCGATTCCGGTTTTTGTGGCCATACAATTGATTGATAGTACAATGTACAGTACAATGTATTGATAGTATTAAAAGAAGCACGACATAATTTGATGTTCTTAAATTTTTACCCGTTAAACCGGGAATGTCTTTGCGAAAAATTGGCTTCACTTTTGAAGAAATCAATAAAAACCTGAACATCTTGCGAGCACTTCTCTCAACATTTGGACAAGCTTCAAATAAATAGATCCATTAACTTCATGGTATATATATTCATACTTTATTCAGGACATGAAATAAAGCGTAATCAGTCAGACAATACACAAATCTACACATAAATACATAGAGAAAGATGAGATATTTTACTCGGCGATGTGGAGGCGGGGAGAAAAGAAGATAGGCTTCTTGCTTTAATAACCTCAGGCCATGAATGGGCTAACCCAGTGGAAGAGTGAACTCCGCTAGAGAAGGGATCTCTAGTCAGCTCTAGAGAAGAGACCTATAGAAGTAACACCATTGGAAATAATTATTTATTGTTGCCATTTATGTGCTGAATCGACTTCTGGTTACTTTCATTAGAATCTACGTTAAATTTCATTAAAGAAATATAGGATCTGTTTTGTGGACTTACCGATAAAAACATGGGGAAAATTAGAGTCAAAGTCGAGATAAGTGTCTACTCCCCAGATATTTGTCTAGGGGGGTAGAGAGTCGGATTTGACGAGTATCACTAGCTTATCACTATAGAATCTACGTTAAATTTCATTAAAGAAATATAGAATGTGTTTTGCAGACTTACCGATAAAAAGACAGAGAAAATTTCGGTCAAAGTCAGACTACCTATTTGAGAGAGTCGATCCACTTAAATGGTCTATAATTTAAGATGCAAAAAGCGGAAAGAACTCACGGTTACTTTCATTAGAATCTACGTTAAATTTCATTAAAGAAATATGGAATCTGCTTTGTAGAGTTACCGATAAAAACGTAGAGAAAATTAGTTTGATTACTGGGCTGTTGCTTGATTAACCGTTTCTACGGAAGGTTTTAATTTAGCGTATTCAATTGGATGATGAAAGACTCGATGGGTGGAAGGAAATCCATTTGCGGAACACCGGCGAACAAACACTTTATTGCATACAAACCTGTTATAATACTATAAGATTTGCATTTAAATTTCAGAAATTTACATTGAAGCGAGATATAAAATGCCCCCCGATGGTTTGTTGAATCATCTCATTCTCTGCGCGATGGCTCAAGGATCTGCACCAGCTCAAAATCCCGTAGGTTTTTTATAATCTTTCTTTTAATCACTTTTACATTGGTTTTTTTGTTTAAAGATTAATATAAAAGACACTTTTTTAAAGAAATAAAAGAAAACATTTTTATGCCCGTTGTTTCCCATCGAAAGAAATTCCTTGCTATTCTGATCGACTTGCTCTTTTTGACCTTAAACCCTTATCCCATCGCCGCATTTATTTTGATTTGGTCTTATGCTATAAAATCATCTTCTCTCCTAACTCTCATCCGGAACTTAAAGGACTCTTTAAGATTTCGAATCACGCCAGAAGAACTCGTAGTCACAACTTTCAGATTACCCCCTTTCAAAGCTTTCATAACCGCCAACTGTATCATTCTTTTACTTGTCGTGTTCCTCGTATTTGGAATAAGTTACCTTGTGATATTTTTTCGTCTCTGAACTATTTTAAATACTCAATATATAAGCTCGATCTTGTAGCTCTGTCAATTTTAAATTAGTTTTTAATGTCATATATACACGTGTCTAATTGTAGTTGTGTTTGTATATCAATTATCTTTCTTCGTCTACGCTGTTCAATCTGTTTGCATTGTCACTTTTCCTTGTCGGATAAAGTATATACTACAAAACATTTTTAAATGAAAATATCATTCATCTAAAGTGGCCTCTCGCCTCAAGGCTGCGCATCAGCGGTCCGACTCCAGACGAAACCCGCTTGGACGGAACTCCAGTGAGCTTTCATTAACTTTTTCTTATTAGATATATTTAAACTTAGATTTACAACATTCGTGTTGGTCAAACAGTGGCTGTGGAACTCCATCTCGCTTCAAGCATCAAAAACCTTCAAGTTTGTATTTATATCATTTGAGTTTCATTTTGAGAAATTTTAAACGTTTTTGCTTTGCCTATTTTCAAAAATTATAAATTTGAATTGATTAAATTTGTAAAA